GTAGTAGTAGTAGTAGTAGTAGTAGTAGTAGTAGTAGTAGTAGTAGTAGTAGTAACTAGGGCATCGCTACTAGTAACAAGGGCATTACTACTAGTAATTAGCAAATAGCTACTATTAGCAAATTAGTTGTTACTAGTAGTACTGCCAGGAGCTACTAGTAGCGTCCGATCGCTCCGTTCGTAGCGATGCCCTGTGTTACGTTCGTAGCTTCTTGTTACTAGCGATGGCCTCCAACCTAATAGGGATGGCCTCGACTGCATGAAGATGGAACAGCCTTCCATGGTTGGGAGGCTAGAGCTTCCGCCATAACGGCAAATGGAAGCGAAGGAAGTGAAGGAAGACTTGGTGAGAAGCACAGTCGCAAACAGGCTCTGCCGTGGAAAATCCACACCCCTGAGTGGATCTCACCCAAACACCAAGAAAAAGCTGAAGTAGGGTAGCAGCGTCGCACCAACACCCCAGGTTGCCGCGCAAATAGACCTCTGGTTGCAAGGTCTTGATAAGGTCTTGTAAGAAACGTGTATCGCTTTCATTGAATTCAATCGCGGGGTCGTCTTTCTTTGATAGTCGCAAAACGCTACTAGTAGCAAGGGCATCGGTACTAGTAACAAAGGGCATCGCTATAAGGGGCAAGGACGCAATTAAGGAAACACAACAATCTTTCTTGGAAGAAGACCGTCCTGATATCACACGTAGGACAATCCTAGCTAAAGATTGTTGTATGCACCACGAGATCGTCATCACCGTTTTTACTACAGTCAAATCCATCTTTCAACATTGATGTGGCTTCACAACACAACCTAGTGTCTCTGAACCTCACTTGAAACATCTTAAGTCAACGGGATCAATCATCTCAAGTAAAGGGTTGACCACTGCCAAATCACTTGAAGCTCCCACCAACTCAGAAGCTCCAAACATCCTCCGACCGTGGCAGCCAATGCCGCCCCAGCTGAGGAGTTTCGCCTTTAAAACCTCGATTTGCCAGGTTTTGAGTATAGCCCAGTATCGCCAAAATCTCTTCCCCCCATCCCACCTTGGCTACCTCATGCTACTTCCCTATTGATACCTCTCGCCGGCTGCGCTCCCCCAGCGCTCGGCCCACCGGCTGCGTCTCGACTCTTCGGGGGCTCCGCACGGCGGCGCGGAGCAGGCGCCAAAGGCTTCGCTGCGGCGGGAGACCTCTGGCGGCTGGAGCACCTGCGCTGGCCGAGCTGGCTGTGGAGGTGGGTTGGCATGTGGAGAGATGCACGCACATGCACACACATGCACGCATGTGTGAGAGGGTACCAGCGAAACTCACTCCCATGAACACACGCAACGTCCCCAGGAAGTGGATGGCATGGTTTGTGGTGGAAGACTTGTCTTCTTTGTGCCAGGGTGTTCAGTTCTGGTCACATGTGAGTGTTCGGCTCGGATCTTTTGGTTCAAGTGGAGCATTGAGTCACTTATATAGTCTCCAGTGTCGTGATGGAGTTGAGTGGCTGCCCATGAATATGGCCAGCTTGGAGCGACTCACAGGAAATGACACAGCTATATCTCCTTTATCCCGATCCAGGCACCAAGGGGTTGGTTGCGGATCACCGCCTGGGCGGAGTATCGCAAAGATCTGAGTCCAAACATCAACTATCCCAGCATCCTCCAACAGGTCTTCTCTTGACAGGGTGGTTAGGCCTTAACAGGTCTCAATTGGTGACACTGTTGGAGGGTGCTCGTCTAAGTCCATATAAAATGATCATATCTCTATAAAACAATCCGTTCGGACCGCTTAGTGCGCCAACCAAAGACCGTGGAACTCGTTCCATCAAATCGAAAAACAAGCAATTCATGATATCCAGCGAGATCTAGAAAAATGTTCAAATGGGAAAACAATAAAACCATTGCCTTGGATCAAGCCAAAGCACGTTTGCTGACATGCCAAAGGACCGCACAATTGCATAGAAACATTGAATGTGGGACATTAACCCATGATAATCACTGCATAGTTCACATTGGTTTCACATTGCAAGCTGCGACGCAACGTTGAGGAAGTCTGATGTGGCAACAAAAATCAAAGTGATCAAGCTGCATAAAAAGTCAACCCTTTCTGCACGTTGATGGTGAACTTGTGTTGCGTGAGGGACCATACAGTATGGATGCCTTACTCACCCAAAACTTCACGAGCCATACTCCCATTCCCCATCCCCATTCCCCACATCACAGCACCTGCACTTCTACAGATGAACCCACTTCCGCGGACAAAAGACCTGTCGCGTAATGGCTGTGCACTGACCTGTTCTTATGCCTGGGTGGTGACACCGAGGCCACCGTCCAACGTACTTGTTGTGCCGCTTTTTGGTTTTCGGTGCGAAAAATGACCGGGCAACATCATCGCTGGCTTTACTCGAGCACGTTGATTCACACTGTGAAATTCACACCAAACACCTTTGCGCCTTCTTCCGCAGTCGTTTCTCACCCCAAGCTCTGTGTTGGACATTTTTGAGACAAGGCAACCCACTCCAATACCTGCGAATACATGCGAACACCTTTCTCATTTCAACATGAAGACCGGCACCCGAGCCTATTCCCCGCTTCCCTGTTTAAAAATCGAGTATTTGGCTGTTTCCACCTGTTCGCATCTGTCTTCGCCACCGCTTGCCCGAACACGCGGGGTCCGTCGGAACGGTGATCCAAAGAAGATCCGGAAGGTACATCATGCAACAAACTAATTAATGTAGACTCTTGATTAATAACCCCCCCCTTTGAAGAGGATTTTCAATTCAACTGGGGGGGTGTATTAATCAAGCGAATCGAGTCTACATTATACTAGACTCTAGAGAGATAGGAGTGTGGAGCATAGCCGGGGAGATGGAGGGACATAGGACTTGCTGCCAGAGTCAAAGAAAAGAGCTAAGTAGCGACAACGATCAAGGTGACCTGCAGGTGATCCCACGCGCCGTCCTGACTACGTCCTCGCCCCATGGGTAAGCCACAACCCCGGGACTCTCGAAATGCCACTAGTAGCTAGAAGCTACCAGGTTGGAGGCCATCGCAAGTAGGTTGGAGGCCACTACTACTAGTATACCTAGAAGCTACTAGTATCAAGGGCCGCTCTACCGCTGGAACTCTCTGAACTGGAACTGCCTCCCGCCTTCCACGCGCTGCGCCCGCGAGACGAACCGTTCAACGCCCGCTGCGCCGAACCGCCTGCGAAGTCAGATGCCAACGACGCGTCCAGTCGCCTGCGTCGCCGCGGTCGCCACGTTCGGTCGATCATCGGGGCCGGATCTGCACCCGAAACCAAAAACAAGGGTTTGTTCTAGGGCTCCAAGTACCTTCTGAGGTTCCAGATACACCTGAGGAGGTACCACTGGAGCCCTATAGGGTTTGTTCTAGGGTTTGTTATAGGGGGCCCTGGTGAACAGCAGGGTTCAACCCGGCTCCGGACTCGGATCCCTATAGGCTATAGGGTGCCAAAAACACCTCGAAGAACACCACACACGCATGGCACCGGGTCCGTGGGAACCCAGCAAAAGGTGCGCCAGCCACAGCCGGACGATGAGTGAAGCCAGCTGGCCATACGGCACAGCTGTGTAACATGCAAACATGCTGAACCCAACCAGCAAGGAGAGGTGAAGGTGGCGTCAAGATGACACTCCTGGGCCAGAACTGCGCAAGATGACGCTCTTGGTGCTGAAATGCACGGTGGGATCCCCACTCCACTCCACTCCCAACCCTCTTCTCCCGCGGTGGATCGTGTGCCTCTGCGCCTCCTCAGCTGCTGCTTGCGCACTTGCTTCGTCGAGCTCGCGCCTGTCGACGTTTTGCGGAGCCCCCTGTCGAAGGGCTGTGGGTGGTGGATTCTTTTCAACGACGGTTTTGCTTGGTTTTGGAAAGTCGAAGACTCCCAGCTGCAGGACGTTTTGATATGTTTTGATGAGTCAATGATTTGGCTGGGGTTCCTTCATTAGTTCTCGGGTCCTCCTGTGAGCTGATGGACTGGCCTTTCTCTTAGCTCCACACTCACAAAACCAAAGCCGTTTGCATCCTTGTGCCATGCCCTTCAATTTGGGTTGACATCAGTGTGTCAGCGAGTGTTGATTCACCTTCGTTTGCTCGCCATGCTGTGTGGTATCATGTGGTATCCCAAACTCGTTCCGCTGGATGGTCCCATCACCACCAACCAACATGATGGTTTGTAGTTGGCTGGCTACGGTACATGGCTCTTGCTTGACCACCGATAATGAACAGAATATACTTGGGAGGTCAACCTACGAGTTGGGGATTTACAGATTTGGACCCACTGCCGACTGAGTTGGCAGCGCCTTGCTGGACCATCCAAGTGTCTTGGGGTGCTAATTAGCTTGGACGAATCGACCCGGCTTTCCCGTCAACCCCAAACCTCTTCACAGCAATCACCCAGTCCAAGCTCACATCTCAATTTTGGGCGTATGACGTATGTCTCAATATCCGAACCAATCCATGGGACTGGCATATTTAGAAAACACATATCGTGTAGTTTGTTCCGATGGCTTAAGGGTCCACAAAATCATGCATAGTTAAATGAATGATTAATGGTAACTATATGTAAATATATGTCACTAGATAAGTGTCAATACCAGCACCTTCAAAGGGGATTGTTGGGATCCATTAAACACCCCTTTGAAGGTCCAGTCCCCATGGATTGTCGGGGTTATCCTTTGTGACTCAACCGAAGAATCGGGTCGTCAGCACGGGTCTCGACCCCTCTCATTCGACCAAGAGGCCCGATGGACGCTGCTGCCAAGATGTAACCCAAGTCGGAACCTGCAGGCAGCACAAGAGGATGCAAACATACATATACATATTAAGTATTATTATATAAGTTATATATGATATATCCCAAACACCCGACTCTATGGGACCGCCATATTTGCGGAGAAACGGCCAGGGGTGGTGCCAGGGGGGTCAATGGGTCGGCATCTATGGTCGCATTATTCGCGTGTGGGAAGGGAAGTGCAGCTCCTTTGAAAGAGAAGAACGGTGTGGCCGTGCTGAGAACAGCGTGCAACCTCCCCCCCGAAAGAAACCCATTTCTTGTTTTGTTTGGCGAAACGAGCAGGTCTGAGACCCACACCGCAGGAAACCACAGCCACCACCGCGTGCAAAACCAAACCTCTGGTCACAAGGCTTCTGCGAGCCCCATATCGCAGCCTTGATGCATGCTGGCAATTCGTATTGGACGGCCACTAGTATCCACTAGTACTAGCCCAAAAAATGTCATAGACACTATGCGAGCTGTACATCTCTGATATATCTCAGATCTGTCCAACAAAAACATCTGATTCCCATCCCCGCCATTGACATGTCCTTGGTCCCAAAAGTGGATACACACTCGTATCCTGGGTGTCACCCAGTACAAAACATCTTCCCCTAGGGTTCAAACAACCATTGTTTCAATGGTCCTTCATCCCCAAGAACCCTTGTTTTACGGATTTTTTCCCCTACACCACCAGCTCGTTCCCGTTCCTTTTGATGGTCGAAGGCCAGGCTGGGCCGGGCGGACTCGCTGGGCCCGAGCCCGGTGGATCCGGCGGCCTCCCAAAGGAGTCACCAGGATGGAGCGCAGCTCGAGAGCTGTGACCTGTGAGAGGAGTCACCAGACATGTCTGTTGTGAAGAAACGAAGGGAAACCGAGATTGGGTATGAATTCGAGACCTGGTATTCCACTATACCCTGCTCCATAGGAATATCAGTGGTAATCAGGTCTCAGTGGATGATGATGTTTCGGTTGCAGAGAGTGACACTGTTGACCGATGGCTCTACGTTGGGCTCCGCCGAGGTGCTCCGTCTCGCTCGAGGTGCTTCGTGGGCCAAACAGAAGTCATTGGAAAAGCTCCAGGAATTCAGAAAGGAAGATGGTGCCATTCACAAGCGTCACAAGTGTTGAGGGTCGTTGGCTTTTGAGGGTGAACTAGAATTTGAGCAACTCATGTCCATAGCGACTGGGTGTCTCAGCCACGTTTATGGAGCCAACTGATTTGGTTCTTCGCCATGTACAATACATTGATCGAAATAGGGAGACCCTCCACAGGCCCCGTGGAAGAAGGACATCTCTCTATTCTAAAACAACCCCCTTCTGGTATTTACAGCACGCTCACGCTCCCGGAAACAATCATGGAAGTGTTAAAACCGCCCTCTTCGCGGAAAAATGCTCGTCCGAAAGGCCATCCATGGGTTACATGATTCTTTCAGGAAGGGTCACAGTTGATCCATCAGCGGAGCCTTCCCATGAGTGGTTGGTCCCTTGTGGATCAACCAGGTGAACCATGCAACCATCAAAGGGTATGTACAGGGTATGTACATCCAAATAAAAGCGCTCTCCATGCAGAATCCAGGTAGCACACCATTAGGCCCCCACTTAGGGCGAGTTGATTTGTTCCCAGCGACCAAGTAACTACTATTAACTCTTCAGTACTAGGCACCTCCTCTCTAAGAGACGATTATATCATAATGACCCAATATTTAGCTCCTGAACTTGTACTCTTTTTCGACGTTGAATGGATCATGTTGTCGCCAGATCCCCCCAAAGAAACATCGGAATCTGCACTTCACCTCTGAAATCTCCTCCAACCTGCCACCGAAGCCCTGCTGGAACCCCGCCTCGCTCAAAACCTTTTGCAACTCCAGCTGCGCCAAACGACGCCCCAAACGCCGGCCACTGCCCTGGGAGACGCGGGCGTGGCGGTCAGGTGGGTGTCTCCCAACAAAGAAATGCTTGCTGACCTGCACATTGCGCACATTGAAACAAGTTTATGATGTTTCATGTGCTTGGTATCCTCCGTTTTGGGAGACTCCTCATCTCAAGGAACGCAGGTTGATGGTGCTCTCCCTACTCTTCCTGAGCTCTTTTATAGGCAACAAACAGAACGGCAGACCTGCTTCAGGTACGACAGTGCCCCTGTGAAACACGAGCCCCCTGGAAGAAAACAAGCTCCTCAGTTCCCACTGGACAACTTGTTCTATTTTAAGGCTATACCCATACTGGTCGCTCATCAAGCAAATTGTATTTGACCATCTAGCTCAGCTACAACAGCATCAATGTCATCACATTGCTTGGTCCATTCTTTTTCACAGCTGTCACCATCACCCTGTCACCATATCTGCCTCCTTGGCCGTGTATCAGGGCCCGGCGATGTTCGGCAGGAGTTTTCCGCCCCCATAGATGACCTCTATCGTTCATGCCATAGCGATTGATGGCAACACTATCGACACTATCCTCCTTTGTACCCCACCAGACCTTGACCACACCGTCTGCACCAAGGTTCTTCCACCTCTTCATGTTTAGTGGGGTGCTGTTTCAACGCACCAAACCGGCTTTTCATGGCTTTTCAGCTCACCCACGGAGCATTTCTGCCGGTGTTCGTCTGGTGTCGCAACTCGCCCGCGTCCCGGCCGAGGGGCCACGGTCACAGTGAGGCTGCCCTCTACGACCAAGGCTTCCAAGTTCCTGGCATCGCTGGAAGCGCTCCGAGCATCGAAGCAAGCGTCGGCGCGACCCACGGTGGGGTGGTTGAAAAGAGGGACCGGCATGGATGGCCAGTAGACAGGTCGTGTCTAGGTCTGAGAAGGGCGCCCAAAATGCACTTGGAGAGTATAAAACCAAACTGCACCTGGGCCTATCCTTGAGATGCTTGAAAAAGAATCAAGCGGTTGAACGTGGTTCCTACAAGAGGGAGTTGGACTACCGTGAAGCATTCCAATTACTTTACTTCGAGTGGTCCCCACCATGACATTTCAATCATTTGTCTTGATGCCATAGTGAGGAGCATGTTGCCATAGTCGTTAGTATTGTAGTTCTCGATGTTGCTTGTGGGTCCTCGGGTTGTGTGCTGTGGTTTTGTGCTGTGTTGTGGTTGTGGTTGTGTGTTTGTGGTTGTGTGTTTGTGGTTGTGTGTTTGTGGTTGTGTGTTTGTGGTTGCGTGTTTGTGGTTGCGGTAGTGGTTGTGGTAGTGGTTGTGATTGTGTGTTTGTAGTTGTGGTTGTGTCTTTGCGATTGTGTGTTGTAGTTGTGGTTGTGGTTGTGTCTTTGTGATTGTGTGTTTGTACTTGTGT